AGGATCATGATGGGGAGCAATAGTGCGTGTGGCAAACTATGAAGTGCATACCACCATCCGGTGCATGCAAATGACCTTTTTTTGAAACAAACAACATACTTCTTTTACTGTTGAATAGTATTTCACAGTGCGTACCTACTATAATTTCTTTACCAAGTCTTCAGTTGATGGACATCTGGATTGATTCCATATCCTAGCTATTGTGAATTAAGAAGCAATAAACATGAGGGTACGGATAACTCTTTCATATGCTGATTTCACTTCTTCATACTGTTCGTAGAACTCATTAGTTAGTGTGGGGTTAATTTTATGAGTATAAAGTAAACTGAAAGCAGATCATTGTAAGAATTTAGAGACGGAATAGGAGAGGGAGGAGGAAGAAGGGTGGGAGTGTGGGCAGGAGGGAGGGTAGAGTGGGAAGTATCACTATGTCCCTAAATCTCCACACATGAAATACATGAGATTTGTATACCTTAAGTAAAATTTTAAAAAACACTATTCTTTTCTTTTTATTTATTTATTTATTTGACAGGTAGAGTTATAGACAGTGAGAGAGAGAGAGAGACAGAGAGAAAGGTCTTCCTTCCGTTGGTTCACCCCCCAAATGGCCGCTACAGCCGGTGCTGCGCAGATCCGGAAGCCAGGAGCCAGGTGCTTCTCCTGGTCTCCCATGTGGGTGCAGGGCCCAAGGACTTGGGCCATCCTCCACTGCCCTCCAGAGCCACAGCAGAGAGCTGGACTGGAAGAGCTGGACTGGAAGAGGAGCAACCGGGACTAGAACCCAGTGCACATATGGGATGCCGGCGCCACAGGCAGAGTGAGCCATGGTGTTGGCCCCCAAAACACCATTCTTTTCATATGTAAGCATCGGAAGAAGGTGTATACTCTTCAAGATGGAAGGGGAACAAAGATTTGCAAACATGTCTGCTCTGTCAGAGTTCCCTAGCTCAATTCCAATCTAGCGATTTGCTCTACCACCTGGGAGAATAATCCACAACCAACCAAGCATTATCTGGGCAAACAGGAAATTACTTTCATCCTAAAACCTCATCACTCCCATATTCATTTCACTCCAGGCAAAAGGATGATGTCTCGCGAATGCTGTACCATCCTGTTTGACATCATACACAGCTCTTTCTCATTAAGCAACACGCTTAAACTTGGGATTTAATATATCTACAACATGTTCACATTGTATAGGCAACTATTGCACATCGTATGTTTAATTGGGATCTAAATTTATGACACATTGTCAAATAATCTGCTCACTAATGCTCACAAAATTCTCTTCAAAGATGTATTCATTTTGACAGCATTGCTTTCTTGAGTCTATTTTCTTTGTAAGGGAACTCACTTCAGATTACATTTTTATGGACTGTGTGTGTGTGCTAAGAAAGAAACACAAACCAAAAGTTTGAGCAATGCCACGAGTCAGATGTTCTGAGAAAATCAAGACTCGGAACTTCCAAGGGAAATGTGGAACAAAGAATAAACAGTTCTCTTTAACGAATGGTTCTCTTTAACAAACAGTTCTCTTTAATCCCCTAACAACGCCGACGAATGACCTCTGTTGGGATTTTCATGGAGGCCTTCGGGTTGAAGCAGCTACTTGGATAGGCAGCGCAGTGCAGAGATGCATGGCATAACTCCAAAGTCAGAGGCCTTGGATCAAATCACCTAACCTGGCTCCTCATCTATAAAACAGAATGAACTCTAGTTACTTGCTAGGCTTTTGACAAGCACAAGCAGACAGTTTGCAAAGTATTAACATCACTTCTGACAAAGGACAGGACTCCTCAAATGGTAACATGTACTACCATTATGATTTACCTGAAGAGGCCAGGAAATACGAAGCCATTTCGTTATTTTTTTAAAAGATTTATTTATTTTACTTGGAAGTCACAGTTAACACAGAGAGAGGAGAGGCGGAGAGGGGGGCAGTCTTCCATCTGCTGGTTCACTCCCCAGATGACTGCAACGGCCGGAGCTGTGCCGATCTGAAGCCAGGAGCCAGCAGCTTCTTCCAGGTCTCCCACGTGGGTGCAGGGGCCCAAGGACTTGGGCCATCTTCTACTGCTTTCCCAGGCCACAGCAGAGGGCTGGATGGGAAGTGGAGCAGCTGGGTCTTGAACCGGCACCCATATGGGATGCCAGCATTGCAGGCGGCGGCTTTACCCGTTACACCACAGCGCCGGCCCCTCCATTTAGTTGTTTTTCAGTTATAAAGAAGTTTCCTTTCTACTCCTCTTTATATGAGGAATGATCTCTCATGCAAAGCCCATTCCCAGTGTTGGAAATAACAGCAAGAAGCCACAGTGTAATTACCACACATAAGACGCAGACTCACTCAATTACTGATGTCACCGACTGGCCAAATCTGTATTCAGGCATGGGGAAGAGGATATGGTATATTCAGCCTCTACTTAGGACATTATAAATAATTCAATTTGGGGCCAGCGCTGTGGTGCAGTGGGTTAAAGCTCTGGCCTGAAGCACCGGCATCCCATATGGGCGCCGGTTCTAGTCCCGGCTGCTCCACTTCCAATCCAGCTCTCTGCTGTGGCCTGGGAAAGCAGTGGAAGATGGCCCAAGTCCTTGGGCCCCTGCACCCACGTGGGAGACCTGGAAAAAGCTCCTGGTTCCTGGCTTTGGATCGGCCCATCTCTGGCCGCTGTGGCCATCTGGGGAGTGACCCAGTGGATGGAAGACCTCTCTCTCTCTCTACCTCTCTCTGTAACTCTCTTTCAAATAAATAAAACAAATAAAAATAAATAAACAAATAAATTTAATTAAGGTCTAGTTATGCATAGGCAAAAACTTCGCATTTTCTTGGGATGCGGGGTGTTCCTGCAGTCCCCTGCCTACCTGGCTGGCTGCATACTGCCGCACAGGCGGAGAACTCATGAGAAACCGAGATCAGTAGATGCCACGGACTCTACACATGTCCTTGTGCAAGTCACCAGAATTTTGTGGGACTTGGCTTCTTCACCCACAGATCCCAGCTGGACGCAGACCAATTCGGATTCAAAGTCTATGCCTTTATAATCAGCGGGCCCACATTTTCCCTATCGCAGCTCCACTGAAGGAAGGCAGCCTTCCCACCATGGGCAGTGGTCAAGACTCTCTGGCAGGAGGAGAGGTGTCCCCAAGGGGGCCCATCAGGACTGCTGGTGGGGTTGGAAAGGGGAAGTGGTGGACTGAGGAGACCCCCAACAGGGTATTCCGTCCCTGTGTCTCCACAAACTGAACGACCCCAACCATCAAATGCTAAGAATGATGAGAGCATACTCTTAGAAAAGCTGGAGTCACGGATCACAAACAGCCGGCATATGTGTTTTACACGGTCAAAAAAACTTCCTAAAATGTTGGAATCAGCTGCTGACACGTGTAGGTTGGGTACGCTCGCGAAAACCTGCATTTCTGGTTTCCTCTGCTGTTCAGATAACCAGGCTCCGCGAGGCTGCCCTTCTGTGCTGGGAAGGTTGTCTCCGAGTAGCGAGTAGCGGCTGGCCGCGTCTCCCTGCTGCTCACCACTCACAGGCCTTGCACTCCCACGACCTCCGCGTTTGTCACCACGCGTTGCTCCTGATGGGGGGACATTTCTCTGCCCCCAGCTCTATCGCGGGCAGGAAGACTGAAGAGGGACCTCTCCTTACCCGCCCTGCTTCCTTCATTCTCCAATGTGCCATCTTCCCTAGCTCTACTTCCCCTGGACAGCCCAGGGAATTCCATACAAATTCTGCGTGGTCACTTTGAGAAATACTGGTTTGACAAATTTTTACTCCTTCTTATTCAAACTCTCCAAGACTAAAGCCAGATTCTACCATCTTCTGCAGCTCACTTTATTTTAATAATAAAGTATACATACAGAAAAGTGTAGGTATCATGTCATAGAAGAAACCTATCCACAATACCCAAAAATACTCTAAGGTAAGTGCAAGGCAATATGAGCAAGAACTTCATATACATTACACAATGTTTCTCAACAGGAAGAAAAGCAGGGAGCAAGCGTTTGGTCTACCAGTTTAGACAGCCACATCCCACATCATAATACCTGGGTTCCATTTCTTGCTCAGGCTCCTGGCTCCAGCTTGCTTCTAATGTAGTCCCTGAGAAGCAGTGGTGGTAGCCCAAGTAACTGGCTTCCCATCACCTACATGAGAGGTCTCGATTGAGTTCCTGGCTCCCAGTTACAACCCCAGCCCAGCCTTGGCCATCGAGGGCATTTGGGGAGTAAGCTAGGGGATGAGTGTTCTCTTTCTCTCTGTCTCTCAAATAAATAAATAAAAACATTAAAGTATCTAAGTATAAGGAACAATATACCAAGTTTTTGGAATAGTAAGATACACTAATCCAAAGATAAAATTTATCCCAAAATTAATGTATTAAGTCAATAGAATTCCAAAAGCAACTTTTAATGGAAGTTAGTAAGATAATTCTAACATGCATATATAGTTCCCAAATGGGTCAAGTCTATTCAAGAGAATACTCAGAAATAGGCAAAGGAACTTGCTCTAAGAATTCATGACTTTAAGCTTTGGGGTAGGGAACTGAAGCGAGAATGAGGAGACCATACCCACCGCCACACACATGCACCTCTGCTGGCCGCACTGTGATCTCCAAGTATCACCTCCCACTAAAATGAACCAGGACTCCTTAGGGAAACGGCTGATTCCAGATAGGAGGTAACACACTCAAGAGTTTTCAGGAGTATTCTGTCACCCTTGGAAGCAAGGAAGCCCCCCAAACTACTAGGATTATGGCAAAAAGATTCAGGATCCAACTTAAACAGACTCCCGCTAGCCAAAGATAATCAGAACATCAAAAATAATAACAAAAATGGATGGGGGACGGATGTGCATATCCTTGACATCAAAATGTCATTGCACAGCAGCAGCCACAGCAAACCCCACCCACCCACGTTAAGGGACGCCAGAGGATCAGCTCATTGTGGGAACCACACATAAGGTAAAGGAGCAAACACCTGTTTTCACAACTGCTGAGTTGTGTAACAGGATTTTTACTCTGTTTCACTATGTTCAAAATTCTACATGATAAACAGGCTTTGAAAACAGAGAAGGCTGGGAAATAAACATGAAAAGACCCAGTCTGGAAGGTTGTACAGCACCAGGAGACAATCTGAAAGCCTCTAGTAGATGTAGAGCCAGGGGTGCTCCACGGTGGAGAAGTTCACATGTAGACTCACAGCCAGGCCACTCCCCACCTGTACAGGAGATCACACAGACAGGAAGTTCACATGTAGACTCACAGCCAGGCCACTCCCCACCTGTATAGGAGATCACACAGACAGGAAGTTCACACGGAGACTCACAGCCAGGCCACTCCCTACCTGTACAGGAGATCACACAGACAGGAAGTTCACATGTAGACTCACAGCCAGGCCACTCCCCACCTGTACAGGAGATCACACAGACAGGAAGTTCACATGGACACTCACAGCCAGGCCACTCCCCACCTGTACAGATCACACAGACAGGAAGTTCACATGTAGACTCACAGCCAGGCCACTCCCTACCTGTACAGGAGATCACACATACAAGTCTTCTGTTACTCCTCACTGCCCATCACAAATGTCCATTAACAGAAAAGGAGATAAATGAGCATATACAAGCAAGAGTTACTCTACAATTTAAACGCCCCAAATGAGACCTTCATGAATCATTATGACCAAATCTCAAAGCCATAATCCTCAACCAAAAGAAAGCTAGTTGTAGAATAATATATATCATTGACAGATAAGCCTATATACAGCTTTATAATCAGCAAACAACTATAAAGTACTTATAAATATATAATTACATAATACATGTATAAAACATATACTATTATGTAGAACACTGAATTTACACCAGTTGTCACCGTGGAGAAGGAAAGAAATGGAATAGAACCTCAGAGAAACCCCCAAGAGATAAATATATAGCACTTTATCTCTGAAACAAAAACAATAGAACAACTTTTTAAAAGTTGCTGCCTCCAGTTGGTGGCAACTTTGAGTTTTGCTGTTAGTTGCAAGCACGTTTACAACAAAAAAATCCTTCTACCAGCAAAACAGTGCTGTGTTCTGTGTCCATAAGACAAGAGCGATATGGTACAGCTGTTTCAACCAGGCTAAAACTAAAGAATTTAAGTCAATGCGAACACAGAATCCACCACAGAACCCAGAGTAGAAACCTCTGTTTTGTCAACTGTTCTCTTGGGAAAACCTCAGCAGTAATTGCTATTACAAGGGAAGCAAACCTGTTTCATTATACTAACTTCTATTTTTAGTGCACACAAAGACGACTATTTGTTTCTTCTTTTGACTTTTAAAAATCCTAATTTTGACTTGTAATATAAAACATTTTTCTAGTCCTAGATTGACTTTGTTCTGTGCATTATTAGATTCCCAATATGTCAAGTTTTCAAAAGCCCAAATGAAACACTTGCTTCTCTTTTTACATACATTTGGATCTAGACGTAGAACACAGACACTCCTGATGTCTAACCAAATTGTGAAGGCAAATGGAGCTTCAAGACCAGACTCTCCTCACTGGTGACAATGGCTTCTTTTCTAACAAAGTTTGCTCTTTGTTGTTAGTTCTGTCCTAGACAGTATGACCTGTGACATCTCTGAAGTTCTGAGACAGTTTTTGTTCACACGGTAGCCATACTTTAACGTGAGTAGTTGGCACTTAGCTCTTCCACATGGACGTATGTGATAGAATAGTCCTGTATGCCAACTCCACAGAGAAGCCCTCTGCTGCACTCACAGCCTGTTCACAGCCTTGCTGGGGTGTAGGAACCACAAGCAATGGTGAATGGAGGCAGACGACAAATGCCGAGTACCCTGTATACACTGCTGCCTATATGGGGAGTTATTTATATCTTGGAAAGGGAGCTATACGGAAACTCTAGATATGCCTAGTAGAACCTTGGAAAGAAAGTTCAATTAGAAGTCCTAGATTCTCCACCTCCTAAAGTCCAGGCTGTTACAGCAAGACCCAGCTGCCTACTGGAGTGAGCGATGAGACGGGTGAGATGCCTTCACAGTGCTGGGCAAGGGGCGTGGCCTTCAGAAGCAAGACAGATGCAGCCATGTGTGGGATGGGATGGGACAGGAGCAGCCCAGTGCTCGCCTCAACGCATCAAAAACCAAACAGAACACCAACTCCAGGCTTGGGAAGAGCTGTCAGAGCTTCTCCTGCCTTTTCCTAAACTGGAACACCCAGGGAAATGGCCTCCGTTACACAGGGAAGCAACACGGGCCAGATGAGAAGTGGGCTTCGGCCAGAGCCAGAGGGTCGCGTCCCACCCTCCTCTGCTGGGGAATGGGTCAGCTGCATGAATTCTCCAGGACACGCTGTTCACCCACACTTTCACCTCCCATCTTGTCCTTCCTGCTCTGTCTTCCTCCCTTTCTCAATTCTCTTTCTCCTGCTTCTAGCTTGACATTCACAGTAACCTCTCCATCTGGTTTCTGCCCCAAACCACATGTTTGCATACTTGTGTTCATGACTTCTGGTTCTTGCAGTCGTCATCATTCTCTGCTAGCCTAGTTTCTCATCCTAACTTGGATGTCTCTGCAAAAGTAAAACAATATAAACGAGTTCTCATACTAAATTACAATATCTCCAATTAATCTAAGAAACTCATAATTTTTCATGAAATCTGCAGAGTAAATAGGTCAGTAAATAATTACAGGATTTCCTCCAAAAATATAAAGCACAAGACAAAAAGTATTTTATCACCACAGTGAACAGAAGAAAATGCATTATCTTTCCACCGAGCCTCAAAAATATGTGAATAATTAATTCCTGCAAACAAAATTCTCATCCCATAGTCACAACTAACTTGACTGAAATAGACTTCCATCTGAGTTTTTCTTGGGTCTGCAGTCTGTGATCTCCTCCTAGGAGTCACAGTTTGCAACAGCTGCTGGAATAACCAGAAAATCAGTGCCACGTTCAGCTCACCTCGTCTGTCTAGGAACTAGCTTGGTCGGATATTCTACCAGCAGCTCATCACGGTGATCAGTGAGCAGCCGGACGGCTCTATCTCATGGGGCCACCGCTATCAGCCGGGAGGTCTGCTAGTTGTCTCTCAAGGCACAGCGAATGCACAGGGTTGGTTTGGGGGCTGGAGGGGCTGGTAACAGGCCCAAGTGGCTTGTTCTTTCTGGAAATGGGTTTACAGAAGAATGCAGCTTGCTTGTCCAAGCTGTGGCGATCATGCAGTGTGACGGTGCTCTGAGCAGCCAGACCTGTTTCTGAAGAGCATCACAGTGAATGTTCCAGACCAGACCCTCGTCTTTCTCATGGCTATGCCTCCAGGGCTAGCACAGGGTTTATCAGCATCTGGTACAATAACACCAAGGAGGATGCTTTGTGTATCAGCCCAGTTAATATCCACCACAGCCCTGTGATTGAACTTGGCTTGTACCTGCAATTTAAGGATGAGGAAGCTGAGGCAATGAGATGTTTAGCAACCTTGCTCACAGCCCAGACAACAAAGAGCAGGGGCTGGCTCCAGCGTCCACGACTACTGTGCTAGCTTACGCACCACGCTACGTTGCATCCCCTGCTTCTGCACACGCCACATGGCACAAGCCTCAGCTGCAAGAGTGATTTTTCAACAGGAATGAAGGAGGGAAGGTGAAAGGAAGCAATTTTAAAAAGCTGGTGAACCAAAAAGTGTAATTAACGGTTCAGAGACAAAATTAGGATTTGAATTACTCTTATATAGCTCTATCTAGAATTAATGCTATTATTTTCTTTATATGATTTATATAACTATGAAATATAGGTGACTTAACTCTCAGCATAAAACTATAATGAATGCCTCAGACCTACCACTTCCCCAAAACTAGAACATGAGTCCACCTGGTGTTCTCCCTCTGTCTCACCCTCCCAACCTCTCCAATGAATTTGCACTGAATCTTGTGCCTCTCATGGTTTCTTATTCTTTATCTGGTTTATCACATACATAGGTAGCCTAACCTACAGGTTGTTTGTGAGTGATCAAAATGGTACGGTGTTACAGAAAATCCCCAGGCTTTTGCTTTGGTCACTCAACATTGTGCTTCCAAGATTCGTCTATGTCGCTCCCCATTTTCGTGGAGGAGCGACACTGAACCCTGCGCTGTTCTTTTGTCTGCTCGGCCCTCCCCGGGTTTGCTGCTGGTTCTTCCCGGGTTGGCTACTATCCCTTCCACCTCCGTGGAAGGGCAGTTCCCCCTGGCCACATTCCCCACTTCCGCAGGGGAGCGGCACACCGCCGGCCGGCTCTTCTCGGGGGCTGCACAGGTGTTCCCTTAGATGTTCCCCTTAGATGTTCCTGGTGCATGTTGTCTCTCTCCTCCTTTATAGTCCTCTTCCACCAATCCCAACTCTGCTACCCACACGCCGAGTACGCTGCTCTCCTCCAATCAGGAGCAGGTCCTACAGTTTATTGGTTGAACTGGAGGCAGCTGTGTAGAAGCTGTTTCCCTTCTCAGCGCCATATTGTGGGAGAGCAGATGCATAGAATAAGTCTTAATTCCAGTAACTTAGTCTAGTCCGAGTTGCTCCCAGTTGCTCCCCACAGATCCCCCTTTCTTTTTATTTTTTGGCGTTGATACGCGCCTGTCTTCGGTGTCCCGCGGCACACACTCTGCTCTGCTTGCTAGAGTTGCCCACAGGTGCTTACAAGTCCTATCAATCAGGCAAACCGAATCTGGGTCCTCTCTTCGCCATGTTGTGAGGAGGTTTTTAGGTGCTGATGCGTGCCTGTATTCGGTGCCCTGCAGCGCATGCTCTGCTCTGCCTGCAGGTGCTTACAAGCCCTAGCAATCAGGCAAACCGAATCCAAGCCTTCTCATTGCCGTATTGTGGGGAGACTTATTGGTGTTGATAACGTGCCTGTCTTCGGTGACCTGCGGCGCATAAGCTGCTAGCCGCCCGCAGGTGCTCACCACCTCACTAATCAGGCAGACCGAATCCAAGCTCTCTCATTGCCATGTTGTGGGGAGGCCTTTCTATTTCTCTATTTCTCTATCTCCGGGCATTCCTATTTCTCCCATTTTACTTCTATCTTCCAGCATTCCTATTTCTCTCATTTTACTTCTAAACTTCTGTTTCTCTTATCCCCGCGGCTTCCCGGCTCCCGCCCCGCGGCAGCTTCACGGCTCTGCGCGGCTTCCCGGCGCCTAGCCCCGCCGGCGGGCTCCCGGCTCTGCGTGCACGCTCCGCGGTCTCCACGCACTTCGTGCCCGCACCAGGGCCTCGCGCCAGCCCCGCGTTCCCTATCTATTCACGCCCCGTGCTCTCTCTGCACGCGGCGGCTTCCGCGAATGTTTCCGCCACCACCGGCATTCAGTCCAAGTTCCCCGGACTAACCTGGCGAATTTCAACCTGGCGGCCCACGTCTCTGCCTCTGGTTCCAGATCTTCGCCTCTTGCTCCCCGGGGTGACTTGAAGAATTCCAAGGTGGCTTATGTCTCCGCCTTGGCCTGCACTCGCGGCTTCATCCTCCCTAACATTTTTCTCTACCCGGTATGTTTCCTTAAGTTTTCTTCCAACAATATTCCTCTCACTTCTCCTGGCTTCTCCCCACAGTCCGTATCCGAGTCCAAGCCTCCTCCAGGTTTCACTTTCGCTTTCAATCTCCTAGCTTCCCCGCCATAGTCCGCATCCGAGCCTATGAAAGCTTTCACTTTCGCTTTCAATCCTAACTTCTTTCCCACAGTCCATATCCGAGTCTATGCCTAGGCTTTCAATAGCTTCTTCCGGCACCTAGGCTCTTTGCTAGTCTCTCTCTCCGGTATTTTCCACTTCTTCCCGTTTCTTCCCTCCTAAGTTTCCTATCCGAGTCACGGCACCATCATGTCGCTCCCCCTCTTCGTGGAGGAACGACACTAAGCCCTGCCTAGGCTTCATATCCGAGTCACGGTACCATTATGTCGCTCCCCATTTTCGTGGAGGAGCGACACTGGACCCTGCGCTGTTCTTTTGTCTGCTCGGCCCTCCCCGGGTTTGCTGCTGGTTCTTCCCGGGTTGGCTACTATCCCTTCCACCTCCGTGGAAGGGCAGTTCCCCCTGGCCACATTCCCCACTTCCGCAGGGGAGCGGCACACCGCCGGCCGGCTCTTCTCGGGGGCTGCACAGGTGTTCCCTTAGATGTTCCCCTTAGATGTTCCTGGTGCATGCCGTCTCTCTCCTCCTTTATAGTCCTCTTCCACCAATCCCAACTCTGCTACCCACATGCCGAGTACGCTGCTCTCCTCCAATCAGGAGCAGGTCCTACAGTTTATTGGTTGAACTGGAGGCAGCTGTGTAGAAGCTGTTTCCCTTCTCAGCGCCATATTGTGGGAGAGCAGATGCATAGAATAAGTCTTAATTCCAGTAACTTAGTCTAGTCCGAGTTGCTCCCAGTTGCTCCCCACAGTCTATATTGAGTAGAAACAACTATTACTTATGAAAGGGCTTATAGCTTTCAGAGCACTATTGCATATATGCTATCTCATTTGATTTGCATAAAAATCAATTAGAAATGAGTACCTTGATAGAATATTTTCCTATACGTTTTATTAAGATAGCATCAAAGATGACCTTGGCAGACACTAAGAGACGCAGATCTTTAGCTGAACCCCCCACATATGAAGGCCCATGTCTGCATATATGCTCCAGGTCTTACACACACACTGACACTGACGCTGACACTAAAAACGCTGCGCACCAGGAAACCCATCTGATTACTTGCAACTGTGAATGTCCTCGCCTTGGAGGATGGGAGTCGCCCATTACATGGAAATGAACAATAGTGAAATAAAAATGAGTCGAAGTGCTTTCTTTCGGACTTCTTGGAAATGCATCCTGTTTCCATATGTGTGGCACATAAAGCTTGTGTTTATTCCAAATGTGACGGCCGTGTCTATGCACCGTATCTGATAAGACACGTTAAACAGCAGCATGTATAAAGTCCCGGAAGAATTCGAGGGAGCCAGAGTCTGTTTTATTACCTGCTGAGTATCTTTTTCAAGACATCGTTTGTTTGCTGGCAAGCACGCGAGGCAGAAGCACCCATTGTTCCTGCCGTTGTGGTGAGTTTTGTGTTACTACTCTGTGCCCTTGTCTGCTTCAGAAAATAGCACCAGTTAGCAGAGAAATTGGAACACTGTTTCCCGTGTGAAGATTTCAAAGCAGCTGAGCAATGGACACAACGCCTAAGAGAACATCAAGAACCCAAGGGGCTGCTGTGCGCAGGTGGAACGGGCACCAAGTCTCCGGGTATTTCCTCCATGACATCACACCACCGCCATCTCTGGACCTCACAGTGTGTGTCTAAGGTCACACTGCATACTTTCTTTCTAACGCAGTTATGTTTGGGTAGGGGAGTTCTTTAACAATGGAAAAAATTAACAGGCTAAGTGAGAGCACCCTCTCCTGACTATTGGGAAATGGGCAAGGGGTAGGTGTCCACATAAACTTTCCACGTTTATTCTCACTGGTGCATTGGTTCACTTCTTTGCTGAACTGCAAAGAGACTGTAGTTGTTACCATCCAACGAGTGAAATTCACATGCCAGATTTTCAGGATTAGAATGAAGTACCTAAGGCCAGATGCTTAGCAACGAAACAGGAATATTTCAGCTCATGGTTTTGGAGGGCCACTTCCACTGCCAGGCACCTCTGCTGGGTTGGTGTCTGGTCTCGGCATTCGGGCTGGCAGAGTCCCAAGACCGCTCAGAATGCCATGGGCAGGAGAGACGATGGCTGGCTGTCCTTAGAAAGTATAGCTTACAAAGGGCCACCCCTAGACACCGGAGTTACATTGTGTTGTTACCCTCTTCCTACTGTTAACCGGTGACTTTGGAGTTTACACATCTGGATGACCTGGAGAACCAAATCATGTTCTCACTGTAGCAGCCAGCAGCTTTTCTTTTTTAAAATAAAAATAGTTAGAACTGTATTTTGCTAAATAATCAGGCTAAAGTACTGACCATCTTAAGGACAAAAACAGGTTGTTCAATGTCCTTTAAGTAGCCAAATGATCCTTCAATCCTTCTGAGGTTATATAATTCAAGAACAAAATCCTTTGCCAAAGCTGTCTTCTCTCATCTAGTTAAGTGTGCAAAGCAGTAAAGGAGTTGGAAAAACATGATTTGGAGTCAACTAGACTTGGGTTCAAGTCCCATATTTGCTACTTACTAAATATGGACCTTAAAAAGGCTACTTAATCTCTGTGAATCTCAGTTTCTAAGATCATAAAATGAGGATTTTTTCTTATCTTTAAAGCATAGCATTGCTATGAATACTCAGTGGGGTCATTGGGGCTCATGAAACAATACCCCAAGCTGAAGCGTCGGAGCCACAGCTTTGCCCTGACCACCTGTCCTTCACCCCTCCCACTCCCCAATTCCTCTCCCACAAAGCAGACCTTGAAAACAGAACCCCAGCCCTCCAAGCCAGCCATAGAACCTAGAAATGCTCCTCTATGCTCCCCCTACCTTTCTGGGTGAGAATTAGCCACAGAGAACCTCTGACCTTCCTTGTTCGGTTGTAGCTGGAAAGACCCCTGTTCCACAAAGGGTCTGCCCTCTGCCCAGGCTGGAGAGAACAGTGCACAGGGAGACCGAGAAGACTGGATAGCCTCTGCTGGGTCTCCCTCTCAGCCTACTAACTGTCAGCACAACCATTAATTCAATCACAGTTGCCCACAGTTGTGCATGCCTCCTCAAACAATAGCATAAAAACGGACAGTCCCTCCCGGGTCCCTGGGTCTTCCATCTGAAGGTCTTGTGTCACACAGAACAACGATCAGACAGATTTGTCCTGCTGTTTTTTTGTTAACCTGTCTTTTGATACAGGGACCTGAGAAAGACAATGTGTACACCTTTCCTGCCCCTGTCCCATCAACACCTGGATGGAGCGGGTGTGTAGCCAGAGTTCCCACATCAGTGTCCCAGCGGGCAACCTGAGTATTCCACAGATTCGAAGGGCTCTGTCGCCGCTGTCACGCTAGAACTGTGTCTTGCCATCGCCTGCACACGGGGCAGTTCCATTCCATCTTGGTCGTGTGGTTCAGGTGGGGCATGGGACCGGAGCTGGGGTGCAGTGGCCCACGAGCGAGGGCAGGGCCAGGGCTGTCTCGGCCCAGCCTTCTGCCCAGCAGCCTCCTCTCTCCCCAGCGCCAACACCCACTTTGCTTTGGCCTCTACAAGGCCACTAGTGTTCTTTCCAGGGGTTTGGGGTTTCCTTTCTTTCCAAGTCTGTTTCATGTGAAAACTGGGCAAGAGGTACCCGCACAGCAGGCCTGCTCTCCCCTCCTGAGGAAGAACTGTCCCTTCTTCTACCCAGCAGGATTAAAGAAGGTTGTTCGTGAAACAAACAGGTCAGGCCAAAGTTAGGGCAACAGGAAGTGCCCCCCTGGGGTGCAAGCAGAGGAGGAGCCCTGTGTGGGGCAGGCTCTCTCACCCAGTGAGTTTCTAGAAATGTCTGAGGAGAGCACAGGAAACGCACAGCACAGGAATGAAGCTGACACGCTTGACATCTGTCGGTTTCAATGCGAGCAGTATTTGCTGCAGAAATCAAACTGGGGAAGGAATTTTAAAGACAGGATTCACGTGAAAACGACCGTTAAGTAGCGTAAATGTACTTAGGATATGAAACTGAAATTGGGAGTTTTGTTAAGTACTGAACGGTTACAAAGGGCTTCTGAGGACTGGCATTTAACCGAAACTTGAGGATTGCAGCTCACCACCGAAAAACACACGTCACAGAGAGACAGGGCGGATTCCATCGGATTCGGTTCAGGAACAGAACTTGGAAGGTCAAGTGCAGAGTGAAGAAGGGGAAAACTTAAGGAGCAGTCATGGGGTACGCTGAAAGGATTGGATTTCTAATGGGAAAAATATTTGTAAACTATGCATCTTGGTGTAGGATTAATATCCAGCATACATAAGGAGTTCAGGCAACCATAACAAGACAGACAATGCAGTTAAGAAAGGGACAAAAATATGAACTTTTTTTTCACATGAGGAAATACAAATGGTCAACAAACACAAGAAGAAAACTCGCAAGATAACTAGCCACCAGGGAAATGTAAATAAAACCACAATGAGGGATCATCTCACTCCAGTTAGGATAGCTATTATCCAAAAATCAAAAAACAACAAATACTGGCAAGTTTGTAGAGAAAAAGGTACCCTAATACACTGCTGGTGGGAATGCAAATTGGTATTACAATTATGGAGAATAGCACGGAGATTCCTTAGAAAGCTAAAAATAGTCCTACCCTATGACCTCGCTGTCTCACTCCTAGGAACATATCCAAAGGAAATATGGAGGGGCCAGGGCCATGGCCCAGTGGTTAATCCTCTGCCTGCAGTGCCGGCATCCCATATGGGCGCCAGTTCTAGTCCCGGCTGCTCCACTTCCAAACCAGCTCTCTGATGTGGCCCGGGAAGGCAGTGGAACATGACCAAGTCCTTGGGCCTCTGCACCCACATGGGAGAGCAGGAAGAAGCTCCTCGTTCCTGGCTTCTGATCAATGCAGCTCCAACTGTTGTGGCCATTTGGGGAGTGAACCAACAGAAAGAAGGCCTTTCTCTCTCTCTCCCTCTCACTGTCTGTAACTCTACCTCTCAAATAAATACATAAAATCTTAAAAAAAAAAAAGGAAATGGAATCAGCATTTGAAAGTTACCTGGACTCCCATAGCCAAGATGGGGAATGAAATGAACTCTATTTCCAATGGGTGTGGCCATTCCCTGAATACAGACTTTCTTTAGGAGCTTCTCCCTCAGGGCTAAGTCTCAAGGCTATTTCTGGCCTGTGCTTTCTTCCACAAGGGAGGTGTGCACAGTCAGTGAGAGATGGCGGCCCGCGGGTGATTCCTTGGCCTGGGGTCCCTTTCCAGCCAACGTTGCACTCTCAGCTGTGGGCCTTGCCATTTCCTTTCCCTGGAATAATTCTTCTACCTGTTGTAATTCTTGCCATCAGCTGCACCGATCAGCCTTCCTGGGATTCTCAATTTAGACAGATTTTAAGCCCAAATATTTGTTCTTGAAATTACTTTCAATGTATTTATTTGAGATTATATTTTCAATAACATTTAATTTTCTGAGAAATAAAACTGTTGATTTGGGCAATGGTTGCAAAACGCATGGAGCTGTACACTAAAAAGGGTGAAATTTCCTTTATAATGTTAGTCACACATCAATTTCTAAAAAAGCTTGAAAACAGAAGTGAACTCTGCCAACTTATCCGTTGGGGCCACATTGAACATATTGGAAGTGTTGTGTACCCAAACACCAGGAGCCAAGGATTTCAGGCCCATGAAAGCCACTAATGAAATCTAATCTCGGGGATACAGCTGCATCGCCTGTAAAATGAGAGGCCTGTCCGGATTCACGTTTCTGAGAGTGTATGCTTGGCAAAACGCTGGTGCTGCAGAATGCGTGCAGATTTCGTGGGGAAAGAAAGATGCTGTTCTGTCCAGGGAGGAGGGACCATCTGCTTCCTGTAGGGCTCAGCAGAGCCTTGTCACCGCGGTGCAGGCTTCCCCAAGTCTCTCTGCTCGCTGCGCCTGTAGCCACCCCACCACAGCCTCCAGCACCTGTGGGTCTCACACAGAAACTGACAGACAAAATCCTCTTTGACAATCACCTTCCACAAAACTGTTCTGATAAGAGAATCAAGTTATCGGGGCCGACGCTGTGGCATAGAGGGGAAAAGCTGCAGCCTGCAGTGCCGGCATCCCATAGGGGCGCCGGTTCTAGTCCCAGCTGCTCCACTTCCAATCCAGCTCTCTGCTATGGCCTGGGAAAGCAGTAGAAGATGGCCCAGGTCCTTGAGCCCCTGCGCCCGTGTGGGAGACCTGGAGGAAGCTTCTGCCTCCTGGCTTCGGATCAGCGCAGCTCCAGCTGTTGCAGCCATTTGGGGAGTGAACCAGCGGACGGAAGACCTTTTTCTCTGTCTCTCCTCACTGTCTGTAATTCTAACTTTCAAATAAATAAATAAAATCTTTTTTAAAAAAAAAGAGAATGAAGTTATCAACTTATGCTTATTCTAAGGAAGTGAAACTCCACACCGGGTCTGAATCATTGAAATGATTCTTCCTCTCCTGTTGTGTGGTAGAAACAGATATGGGCACTGTGCAAGCCACATTCACACAGTTCAGGTTTTCCCTGCATTTCTGAGTGGGGTGCACAGGTGTGCAGAGAGCAGACAGGGTGACAGAAATCAGAGCAAACCACTGGGCAGGCAGCGTCAGACCAGACACCAGTGGGAAATAAGACGCATAAAGGTCTGAAAAGTGTTTGAAGCCTGTGACAAACTAGCATCAACTGTTGCCTCCTTCTTCTCGAATAAACGCAAGGGCCATGGTATGGCATAACAAGAGATCCCAGTTTCAGCCACTTTCTGAGACCCCCATTCCTCCCCCTGGGGTGCAAATCTGGGAACAGTAAAGGACACTGAAATGGATGAACCAGAAAGAGCAGATTTCTCCTATGCTATGATCAGCAGCCCAGCTTCAGGTGGCCATAACACCAAGGAAAAGCTTATCTCAAGTTTCCCATAGATCCTTTGCTATATGTCAAATTCATATGCTGCCAAAAATTGGCTGAAACCCAGGTATCTACAGCTATCCACAGTTCCTAGAAAATTTAACATGGATGTTTCTGGAACATTTCGCTCCCTTTCTTCAAGGAATGTATCTAGCTATATTAATGATCACTGGCCTTCTTTACCATTCTTTTGTAGCGAAATCCTTCTGGACAACACAAATTAGAAAATATAAATATGGTCGCATACAATGAATGACTTTTTATAGTAGCTGGACTGTGTCTCGCTTATGATGAATCCCAGCAGTGTTCTCTTCCCCCTAGTTATGTTTATTAGCAACACTGCTTGTTTTTCTTATGTTACCAGAAATAATACTCGATTAAGCAATTTCCAAACTATATGTCTTGTAAATTAAATACAAATTAAAATCTTGGTAATTAAATAATGGCTTTTTTTTTTTTTGAAAACAAATTAACTACACGGAAAACACAGAGCTCTCAAAGCTGCAGAAAATGAAATCACAGGGCACACGGCTGGAAACAGGAGGGTGATCGGCACTATGGCCCTCGAAGGTTGTGCCCTTTATCAGAGACCAGTCTAGGTGTCTCTCCCATAAGAATACTAGAGCTCCTCCGGTTCCATGGGAGTGTGAGTCGCAGGAAGGAAAACTCCACCCCGTATTGTTCTCCTGTGCATTAGAGCAGTATTCAGCCATCAAGATGCACAGCTGACCTTTTGGTAATAAGAGGCTTCCTTCTGTCGCTGCCTTTCCTTACACTCCTACACTGCCATCGCCCTGCACCTGCGTAAAGTGGACCCCTTAGGGTCACCAAGAGACATCCACGAATATCTGGAGTTAATTTCACCGAACCTGGGACTGGTGAATCATGGGCTCACCATTAGCCCCTGAGCTGTACACAACCTTTAACGCTTGTTTTCTGCCTGGTTTCAAAGGCTTCTGGGACTGCCTGGGTGAAACCACCCTTTAATTGTAATATTTTACATCCAATTTTGTATCATTAACATGGAATCATCTATTATAGAGATACCCATTCTGGACTTAAAAGTCAGTATTAAAAATCAACAGAAATAACATTGTTTTTTGTCAACAGCTTTTAATTTTTGCAAACTTCCTATAATACATGTATTTACAGAGGAGATTTCAAATAATGTATACTTCATCTCAGTGTGTGTGTGTGTGTGTGTGTGTGACTGTGTGTATCTCCAACGAAAATGAAATCAGCATAGCAAAGAGCTGCCTGCACTCGGGTGTTTAATGAAGCGTTGTTCATAATAGCAAAGATATGGCATCAACCCGGATGCCCATCGGGGGAGGACATTTAGTATGTATGTGCAGTGGGATCTTACCCAGCCGCAAAAAGCCAAGTCCTGACACAGCAACAAATGGATGGAGCTGGAGTTTATTTTAAGTCAAACAAGCCAGACACAGAGAGACAAATGTCACACATTTTCTCTCCTGTGTGTGTGTGGTCAGCACAAATCTGGACTAGTGACCACTGGACGTGGGGAAGGGTAGGGATGGAAGGGGGGAAGATCTGATGATGGGAACCACAACACAGGCAGGTGAAGGCAACGGGTTCTGGCTTCCACAGAGCAGTACGGCAGCCAGAGTCTGCTATAGGGCAATGAATAGAAGGGCTAATGGCCCGCTATGACGCCTCACGCTGTGTCTGTCTGTCAAAATACTGCACTGTACCCCACAAAATTGAGAGGCGTTTCACATTAATCCAAATTCTTTAAACAAAATTCTAAATAAGACAACGTTAAAAATGAAATAATTCCAGAATAAAAGGCTTAAAAAACAAGCTGAGGCTAAAGGTACAAGCATCCCAGGTTAAGCAAACTCCCCACAGAATGGACCTCCAAGTCCCAAGAGAGCGAGGCAGGTGCTGGCCCAGTCGCCTGGGTCCCAGGCCTCCGTTTGCTTCCATTACCATTCCCCCGTCTGAATTGCTGTGTTCTTATTTCCTCTCTCCCCTGGACTGAGACCAGAGTGGTATGTCTTTTTCTCTGTAGCACTCAGAACAGGGCCTACTCACAGTAAGTTTCCATTAAAGATGATTTTTTAAAAAATTTGATCAGTTTGGAAAAATACAAAAAAAAAATACATTTGAACTTCTCCAATAAAATAGCCACCAGCTATGAGTGTCTGGCTCTTCTTTAGAAAACAGAGGAAACTGAAAATATTATTTCAAAGATTCCAGGCCCATAGGCAGGACTCAAAATACTTGTTGAATTGAAAGAATGTTGCCCAATACGCAATGATAGGACAAACAGCACCTTCAAATCCATGGCTCCAAGGCTGCTGAAATTCAGCTAAGGGGTGAACGTTTCAAAAAGCTGTAGGGCAAAGCAAGAGACTCAACTTTCTCTCCCTGTGCAGCAGAACAGGTAACCGAAGATGCCCAGGCACGGGGGAAACTGAGTTCCCTCCAAGTCTTCCACCTGCTATTCCATTCAAACACCAGTGGACTGTTCCCAGAGGGAGACTCACCAGGCTCTTCCTGGGCCCTTTGGACACACTCCCCTGCCTGACCCTGCTGTGCATAGAAAACTACAGCAGAGAACTAACTCACAGGGCTCCTATCCCAACACCGTGACCCGCCTCTGAGCAGCAAGAGAGATCCCCCTTCCCCGAAATCTAACCTTGGTCTTTCCTAAGGTGCTGTCTCCAATTCCTACACAACTGCTTCTAGTTCAGTTTGAATATGTCAAAACGCGACATTTTGGGGGAGCACTAACTTTGACCCTACCACCCCAAGAGGTTGGACCCACCTGGCATGTCTGCTCAGGTGACACAGCCTGTCTGCCATGTGCTCGCTCACAGCGTCTGAGCCACCCTCACGCTCAACAGAAAAGAATGCTGCTCTCCATCGGCGATGTCCACCGCACACACAGGGTGAGAGTGGCCACACGTCGGTTGCCTTTGCTCGCCCGGCCGTCTCTCCCTTTTTCCTGCCAACACGATGCTCTTGTTCCTTGGAGGAGAAATCTCCTCCCTTCCACATAACAAGCATTGCAAATCTGTGACCGCTCCAATCTTTCTTACCCTTTCGGATTTCAGACCCGTGTGGCGAAGCAAGAATTGTGTCGGTTATCACAACGGTCCCTTCCCAGGATCTCGGCATGCAGACTTAGCAGTTGGTGCGGAGAAGGGAGGTGAGCTCTAGCTTCAGCCTCACAATGAATAAATGGGAGAAAAAGCCTAAAAAAGTGGCGTGGGATCGCCTAGTGGCTTGTGGGCACATCTGGCACTACAGAGCATTCTCCTGAGACAGATAAATAAATAACAACATAAAGGTCAAAATGTATTCCACACTACTTTAAAAGGGGGACAGGATTACATAATAAAATCGCACTAGATAATCTGTAGATTTTTTTTTTCCCCTCTAAAATGAAAGAAGCTGTTTGGAGAGAAGGTCTCGACACACACGTGGTTTCTCCTAAGTGCATCACTTTACTTAATGTTCTCTGCAAATGCATTTACATCCATGTTTATTATTTCTCCCTTAACTGTTTACTTTCCATGAGTGTTTGATCTGGTTAGCCAGGACGCTCTGCAAGAAGTAAGCCCCAGTGTGTCAAAGGCAACGCTACATTTTCCGTAAGATGATTTAAAGACTTGATGCATAAGGTTCGCTCTTCAGACCCACACTTTCAGAAATAAGTTCAAAGTTTCATTCCCACTGGCTTGTTCATTTCCTTCGAAACTCTTGCCACAACCTATGATTACTGAATTCTCTGTTATTTATCCGCGTCATACAAACACACGAGGACAGGCACCTTGGCTGGCTTGCTCACTACGTATTTCCAACACCAACCGAGCACCTGGCTCCAGCAGTGTGTGAAGTGGATGACAGATGAATCAAGCAATCAATGCAAGCATCAGTGAGTGAGAGAGCAGAGTGGGGGAGGAACCTCTCCTTTGCAGGCAACTTTGTTCTCAACTTGGTGGGATTTCCTGGAGGGAAAGCCCACACATGCAGGAGCTCCTGGGTCCCTTCCTGTCCATCCTGGAAACAGTGTCGCATCTCATGTGGCTCCACTGGATCCCTGCCTTCCCCGGATGAAGTCACAGTGAGTCCAGAAGAGGTTTCCAGGCCTCTGTTGGCCCCGATCCTACCTGGACCCTGTATTCGGCTAAACAAGCTATGGTGCATTTTCTCCCGATGGGCTTGCCACTGCAGTCAGTATCAAAGTTTGGATCTTTCCACGCTTGGCCAAGAACCATTCTCCACACCGTTCATAACATCTGGTCTGCAGCCTGCACTAGCCCATGGGACTCCTTGGCGCAAGGCAACAGCTAATTTCATATCATGCAAGGTTTGGTTTATATGAGAAATGAGATAATGTATATGAAAGTGCTTTGAAAAGTATAAAATCCCACACAAATGAAATAAATATGATCATGATTCTTACTATCATCATTGTTGCTTTAGCAAAGACAGAAACCTCTCTGAAAAGCCTTTTCACGCCCTGTTCTTGGGGCGTTTAAGAAATATTGAGCCACCCGCCTGCAGACAAGAAACAGTTTCCTGGAGTTATGCAGAACTTTTAAGGAAAAAATATTAACTCTTCCAAGCAGTGTTACAGAACAGAGGAAAACAAATAAAACCAGTTCCTACTGACCTAGATGTACCATTTATCAAAACTGTGGGAAGAAAACACTGCTTAAAAGTTTACACTTTCAGAAATGCAGCATAGGGGCCGGCACCGTGGCACAGCCTGTTAAAACCCCACCCTGCCGTGCTGGCATCCCAGATGGGCAGCGGGTCAAGTCCCGGCTGCTCCACTTCTGATCCAGGTCTCTGCTAAGGCCTGGGAAGACAGCAGAGGGTAGCCCAGATCCATGGGCCCCCGCACCCACGTGGGAGACCCCGGGGATGCTCCTGGCTCCTGGCTTCGGATTAGCTCAGCTTCGGCCACTGCGGCCATCTGGGGAGTTAACCAGAGAAGGAGACGTTGTCCCAGCATTATAACCTGACGCATAGCAGAAAGGGTGCCCCCTGGCTCCACCTAGAGCTCCAGCCCCAGGAGCCGGGTACATCAGGTAATAAGTCCAGTGTCCTCGAGGACTTCCAAATCCAAGGCAAAGGGAGTGCATGCTAAGCAAACGGCAGGGCAAGGCGGAAACCTGCAGACACAGGAATGGTCCTAGGAGGCGCTGCGTGGCTGCCAGCAAGGAGGCGAGCTGCAGAAAGAGGAGCCAGAGTGGGTCTGGGAAGCAACTTCTTCTGTTTCACGGTTCCAACCTTGTTGTTCAAGAGCACTCAGATCTCCCACACTGCATTGAGCAAGATCGTCAGCTCCTACTAACCCAGACAGAAGAAAATGCATGGGCTGGCCTGTGGTGCAGCAGTTAAGATGCCGCCTACAGTGCCAGCAACTCAGACGAGCAGGTTCCAGTCCAGCGGTTCCACTTCCACTCCACTCCCTGCAATCTGTACCTGCGAAAGCAGCAGCAGGTGACCCAAGTGCTTGGGCTGCTGCACCCACGTGAGAGACCCAGAAGAAGCTCCTGGCTCCTGGCTTTGGCCTGGCCCAGCCCTGGCCATTGCAGCCATTTGGGGAGTGAATCAGTTGGTGGAAGCTCACTCTCGCTCTCTCTCTCCCGCTCTAATTCTTTCAAATAAATCAATAAATCTTTTAAATAAAGAAAATATACACTGAGAGTCCCCAGTAGCTGTACCTTACAGACTGGTAACACAGGACCTGCATACGTTAGTCTAGATTTCAAAAACGCAGTAGGCTCTCAAGAAGAGATCATGGTTTCAGAAAGAACCCAGCACACTGACTTCTGGCGGAGCCCAGGCACTCTCTAGGGCTCCTGTTAGCACCATCAGCTTCTCCTTGAGCTTCCCTGGAGGCAGGGGGACTAAGCCAGGCCAGCCATGAAACCTCTCGCTGGTGATGGGCTTCTGACTGCAGAATTTTATCATCATTGCTGGCCAGGACTTGACGTTGACTTGAGGCTTCACTGAGCTTGGACCAGAAATTGGCATTTGTCAAGAAGCCTGTGCAGAACATTTAGCAGGCTCTTATACATACGTGTAATTTAGCCTTGGGACTTTCCATGAAGTAGAGGTTTGATTCTGCCAATGACCTTTCGTGAACTTCCAGGAGTGTGTAGGTTTTTCATCTTTTTTTTGGTGAAAAGGTAAGAAATAAAGACTCTATTTTCCTATGAAGGTGGTAATTACACTTAAGCTCCTGTAGTTCTGGTGTTCGTGGGAGATCTTTATAATTTATCCCTGGGTAGGCAATTCTGGGAAGCTCTTTTTTTCCCTTGAGAGAGATTTTTTTTTTTTTTAACTAGCATCATCGCAAATTGGATAAGTGTTGCATTACAGTGGTTGGCAACCCATTGATAGTCTTACATGCTTTGAACTTCAGGAACGGCATTTGAAAGCAAGGTTAAAAATCCCCTTAACCTGCAAATATTCAGCCTTGAGTTTTGAGAGCCATGTAAGTTAAAGCAAAGCAAAATGGACCCCCACTCGGTGGAGTTCAATGGTGGTGGGGCCTTCTCAGGAAACTAGTTGGACCCTCTGCAAACAGCCAAAGAACAGCTCCTTCATTCAACATCACAGGGCTCCTCCTTCGCCATCATGGTCATTACCCACGTTGCCAGCCCAATTCCGATTCCCTTGTTGCCACTGCACTTCATAGTCCGTGGTGAATTCTGTGAGAAATCTTCATTCGGCAACTTTGCCATTGCTCCAGGAAGGGGGGCCTTGGTGGTCAGCCAGGAACATGCAGGATGATCGATATAAGTCATACTGCTTAGCGATTCAAAAAAAAAAGACAAAAACAAAAAACACCATGCATTTCCCAAGCCAGGGCAAATTAGCCTCTGGCATAGGAACGGCCGGATTATTTACCCATGCAAGCACATCCACGCGATGAGAAACAACTGGCCGGAACGGCAATAACACGCTGCCTACGGTTCCCAGGGGCCTTGTGACGGATGAAGCATTTGATCAACAGGCCACAGAGCTGCTTGGGCTGTGCGGATCTGGCCAGGGGAGACATCAGGGAAACAGTTCTGCAAGCTTGGGAGAAATCATGGAGTCAAGACTTGAATTCTCCACGAGGAACCCCAAGCCAAGTCCCCAGTGTCCCCCTTCAGGCCACTGAGGGGTGCCATTGGCACAGGAAGTCCTCTCTGCTTCCCTGGAAAGTGAGATCAAGATGGCACTTGTTTCCCCGAACTCTTCCAGAACGTTCGTCTGGAAGGCCACGCCCCATTCTCTCATTTTGAGTGGTTTAGTTGTCTTTCCCCACTAACAATGGAGGCTGGGAAAGGGCGGGACAATGTCATTTTCCCCCTACGGCTCCTGGGCAGGTGCATGGACAGACCGTCAGTTCTTGGCAAGTCCATCGTGATGGATTTACCAGAGGGTGTTCCCCTCCACAAAGTCCGCACGTGCAGATGGAAATACCCTCTCGCTGTATAAATGCTGCTTTTTCTTTCTTTGGATCAAGGCCTTTCCTTCAAGCCTAAAACCCTTCCACCTCCCCGGTGCACACCGCGTTTCCTGATCCCGAAGTCTCACAAGTCAAAAATTTGCTGATTTCAATGTATAAACTTCTTAAATCCACAAGGCAACGATGCATTGGAGCCAAAGCCTAAGTACTCATTTACGTAACTTCTTTGTGAATGAAAATACTGGCAAAGATCATTTGAAACCCAAGCTGTCCATCAGCAGATCACTATCTATACAACGACCTGGCCACAGAACCCTCCTTCACATATTTGAATACTGTAGATCCATTTATTGGAATGTAATTGGCACACTGGATGATGAGTTCTAATGCCACTCTCGGTGCCTTCTCACTACAGAGCTATGGATGCCCCAGTGGGGTCCAGGCGCACTCAGATACCCTGGATGACAACCTCAGCTCCACTGCTTGTCTGCCGTGTGATGTGGTCACAGTATTGTGCCTGGATGCCTCAGTTTTCCAATATGTGAAATAGAAACAGCAATGGCAGTAGGTTAGTAATAATAAGTAATAATAAGTTAGTACATTTTAAAAACCCTTGGAGTTTGGCACTTTGTATACACTCATCAAATATCAGTTGTTGTTTGCTTCCAGATCTGGGAATAGTCTTATGTGTCTGACTTAAATGTTGTGCCATACTAGTGAGAGTAAGGGAATATGTCCCCTCTTTTCTTCTGTTTTGGCTTTTTAAAAAAGATTTATTTCTATATTCAAAAGGCAGAGAGAGAGAGAGAGAGAGAGAGAATGAATCTCTGTCCAGTGGTTCACTCACCAGATGGCTGCAACAGCCAGGGCTGGGCCAGGCCAAAACCAGGAGCCAGGAATTCCACTGGGTCTTCTACACGGGTAGCTGGGGCCCAAGCGTTTAAGCCATCTTCTGCTGTTTACACAGGCACATTATTAGGGAGCTGGATTGGAAGTAGAGCAGCCATGGCTCGATCCAGCCCTCTGATATGGAATACCAGTATCACAAATGGTGGCTTAACCATGTGCCACGACACTGGTCCCAGAATATGCCCCTTCTTGGTTCAGTGTTCAGTGCTGCGTCTTTGACCTTTTGCTATGTGTTGGCTCAAAATACAGGCTTCCAGGGATGACCTTGTTTTTTGTAGGGACTCAGAAAATGATACTTCCAAGCAAGGCAGCTTAGCATGCTGAGGCATCTCTCTGGCCCTCTCCCACCCCCTCTTCCTTGCAGTGTAGAGAGGAGCTGTGTCTGAAGTCCTTCTCTGCCTTATCTTCTTGTTTTTTGTTTTTTTTTTTTTTTTTTTTATTTTTGACAGGCAGAGTGGACAGTGAGAGAGAGAGACAGAGAGAAAGGTCTTCCTTTGCCGTTGGTTCACCCTCCAATGGCCGCCGCTGTAGCCGGCGCACCGCGCTGATCCGATGGCAGGAGCCAGGAGCCAGGTGCTTTTCCTGGTCTCCCATGGGGTGCAGGGCCCAAGCACCTGGGTCATCCTCCACTGCACTCCCTGGCCATAGCAGAGAGCTGGCCTGGAAGAGGGGCAACCGGGACAGAATCCGGCGCCCTGACCGGGACTAGAACCCGGTGTGCCGGCGCCGCAAGGTGGAGGATTAGCCTATTGAGCCACGGCGCCGGCCTGCCTTATCTTCTTGTGAGAGCTACTCCTAGACAACAAGGATGACTAAGACACTCTGTCCATATAACACACTGGCCTTCCACTCACCACACATCTCCTCCAATAACCCGTCACGAGTCCCCCAGAAACCCCAAGCCCTGAGCCCCTGTTCCTTCCTGCAGCTTAGGATGTCCCGAACACCATGTCCTTCCTTTAGTCTCCTAGTTTTGGGATCACTGTGTGCAGGCACACGGTGACTCTCTGATTAATCTGTCTGCTGCCAGTTTACCTCATATACTTAGTCACTGACGCTTCAGTGAGTGGTGAGAGTCTACCCTCCCTCTGCCGTCGACCACCTCCACTGAGCTGATTCCTCAGGACAGGAGCTCTATCGTGTGCGGCTCTGTGCTGTCCATCATGTCTAACCCGACCTCTCACATGGAGGAAGAACTCTGTGTTTGTTTGTTGCTGATTTCTGCTGCTTTCTCTCCAGGGCTCCAGGCTGATGCAGGCGATTCCACTCTTCTTCCTGTTCTCCATCACGTGTGTGTGATCTGAGAGAGATTACACAGTCTATGAAGCATAAAGCAACAAGGGACTTAACACATCAGGAACCAAGTCTGCAATCCTCGCCAGAACTCTCGTGACTAAGATACAAGGAAGGGCAGAGACCTGAGGACAGATTCGTGCCCTGTGTTATTTGTGGGTTCCATACCAGCTGGCAAGCTGATGAGATTCAAAAGCAATTTAAAAATTCTTTATTCCAGTAAAGAAAACCAGAGAATAGCTGATTTGGAGGGATTTGGGCTATATCACGGGGAGGGGGAGACAGTCCAACACTGGGGCTCAGACAACGATACCCCAAAGTGTGGCACTTTAGCACGCTGAGTACTGCAAACCAAAAGACAGAGAGCCTCGTTCCAGAAGGCCTTGGCCTGTACCCAAGGGGAAGGAATGCCGCACAGAGAGGCCAAGGGGAATCTCAACAGGCGAGCCTCGTGGGATCCCCTCAGCCCTTCTGATTGCATCCCAGCCGTCCACTCTGCAGGTCTCTCGGTCTGCATTCTGAGGGCTGCCACGTCACATAAATCTGTCGTCTGTCCTAGGGGTCTGGGCTGTGACCCTCGAGACAGGTGAGAAAAGCTACCGCAGAGGTGTGTCCCGTGGGAAACACGCAACCACGGGACGGAAAGTAACTGCTGAAAACTGAACTCACCAAGCCGGACTCCTGTCCACACGCTCTCGAGTGGTCCAGGAACAAAGCCCTTCTTCCTCACCCGTTCGCGGCAGCTCTGAATGCGAATCCAGCGGTCCACGGCTTCTCTCTCACCAGAAGGAACGACTTCCAGGCTGGAAAACACAACCACAGGAGAAAACGCTTGGGGAGGAGCTCACTCCCGGGGAGGAGTCACCTGCAGCACTGGGTCATCTTGCACCCCTTCTGTGGGGCGCCCCCTCTCTGCATCAGTCCGCAGCCTCCCTACCTGGCCTAATCCCTGAGTCTTGCTTACTACCAATGTCATTCACTTGCTGCTTCTGTAGCCTTCATGTAGCTTTCCACGTACAATGTAGCTGTTCTAATGCAACTGCTTGCAACTGGCATCATGGTGCATGGGTTAAGCGAGTGCCTTCAACACCAGCATCCCATATCGCAGCGCCAGTTCTAGCTCTGGCGTCTCGTCTTCCAATCCAGCTTCCTGCTCACGCGCGCGGGGAAAGCAGAGGATGATGGCCCAAGTCCTTGGGCCCCTGCCACCCGTGTGGGACTCACATGGAGTTCCTGGCTCCTAGCACTGGCCTGGCCCAGGGCTGGCTGTTGTGAGCGTTTGGAGAGTGAACCAACAGATGGAAAATCAGTCTCTTTCTCTCTCTCTCTCTCTGTCCTTCTGTTCCCATCTCCAACACTCTGCCTTTCCAATAAATAAATAAGTCTTTGAGAAAATCCACCTGCTTGCAAGGGTCTCTCATGGACTGTTTCCCTTCAGGTGTGACCTCCCTTGGCACTCTGGCTTGGTCTGACTTGTTCTGTAACCTGTACCTGAGGCGTGCATTTTTGAACTGGCAATGGGCTCCTTTTCTGGTGATCACTTACACATGTCACTGCTTTCGCTTTGTTTCCCTGCCGACTCCACTGGAGAACCCAAGACATGATATAACGAATGCAGCTGATCTTGAACCAGGTGAGAACTGAACTGGACTTGCTCAAAAAGCAGACAGGTTTTTCTGGAAGAGGTTTACGTGTTGTTTTCTTTGGGGATTTTGCTCGTTTTGAAGGCTCTTCTGAAACTCAGCTGTTGCAAATTAGCAGAAGACATTTGAAGGGTATGACTGGAAAGACACAAACTATTATCCGCCAGCAAGCTTCATGTGTTTTAAGCACATCAAATAAAAGCTCTTTGTGATTCACTGGTGACCTGTCACTGAGAAGAATTTGCACAACGGACAGAGCTGCCTACTATTGTCTAGTAGGAATTAGGAAATCACAGAACAGGGACTCTCATTCCCTTCCAATTGGCCTGAACTTCACAGGACAGGTCAGCCTGCTTCAGGCCAGCATGGCTGCTGGCGGTCAGAGAGGTCAGGAGGATTCAGGATTCTCAGTGGTGCAGGCCTGGAGAAAACAGAGCCTAGGAGAAACTGGGAGCGGTGCGACAGGTCTCTCATCCTCATGCTGTGTCCTCTCCTCCCCACTACCCCGAGTCCGTTGGCACATGTTCCTGGCGCGCATGTCTGCTGGTGCCTAGACTTGACAGCTGTTGAGGGTCACGGCAGCCTGTGGACTTCCATCAGGAACAACCACTGGCTGTTTCTGGGAGCAGGCTGAACGGTGCGGCAGAAGAACACACAGCCTTGGTGCCGCGGAAACCTGATCTGGCTCTGTCCTCTCTCTGCTATCTCTGTTGAAATGGGAGACTTTGTGTGCAGCTGCAGGGTCTCAGGGCAGTCTCAAGGTGCTGAGGGCCACTTCTGCTGTGGCTTCTCTTAGGCTGGGACGGCCTCCTTCACAGATTCTCCGGGTGACGGTACTCATGTCAACAGGCACCATGTTTGAGTTTCTTCTGCCAGCAATACGTCCCCTCAGCGAAAGTCCTGAGCCCAGAGTGTAAGCTGTTTGCTCACGGGTGTTAATTTCAGCGACTCCACGGTCGTAAGAAACCACTAAGCAAGTCTAGAAGGCATCCCCAGCCAGCACAGGGCGGAAGCAGCTCCCAGCACTGCTGGGTGGGAGAGACAACCGGAACTGGCACAGCCAAGCAGAGCAAGTGTGCAGGAGCAATGAGGCTCACACCAGACACTCCTCTAGGTGCCAGAAACAGACCCCCCCCCCCCAAACCCGTGCTCCGGGCACTTGGACCCTGTCATCCCACACAGGGATTTGTGACATGAGTGATGTTAGAGATCTTTGCTTAGTTGTTCTATGGAGACTGAGTTCCTTGACTGTACATCTATGCTCTGGCATCAACAGAAAACAGTGCCGACACACACTTCCATATATACCAGTACAAGTATCTATGCATGCATAGTATCCGTGTATAATTAGCAACACCACTCCCCTCCCCCACCCCAGCCCCATGTGTTTCTGTGCCGGAGAAGGCGTTCACTCCCTCAGATGGTTCCACAGTTGAAAAGCAAAGCAGATGGTGCTTCTCAATGAGGCAGCCTGCCTGCAGAAATGTCTTGGATATGCAGAAATAAAACCTAAAAGGAGAGGCAAGGAGCATCCTCACTTGAATAAAGAGCGAGCGACGCTTCCACAGAGCCATGCAGCTCAGATAATGAAAAGCAACAATCTCGGGCTCTTTGTTCTGCGTTGATGACAAAACTCAAACCACATGTCTGCCGTGGAACAAGCCACTCTGGACAGTTTCTTGAGGAATAATAATCACTGTTTGATGGGGTCGCTTGTGAAACCCAGAAGGTACTCTTAGGAGCTGGCACTTGCAGCGAACCAACGGAGGGGTAATTTGTGGAGACAAATGATACACTGAATATTGCATTTGGACTTTAAAACAATCGCTCTCACACAAAAGAGAACTAATAGCTGAGCCCGGGCTCCACCCCTGCTCAATTTTCAGTGTTGCCCAGAGTTGGGAGGAAGCCCTGAGGATTAAGGACAGAGGACAGCCCACAACAATGGCCGTGGAGTTTTTGTTATTATGACTGCTAAACCCATAATTCCTCGGCTTTGTTCTGTGACTATACGTGCTCATTTCAACCTCATAGTAGCTGCCAGATCAGGCTGTGCGATTTGCATCCTGCGATGACACGCACAGACCCCAACGAAGCCTCTCTGCTCCAACGTTGCACCCCTCGCCCCAGGCACACACAGCAGCACCCAGCACTGTCTCCCGGGTGCTCTGCGTAGACCCAAAGTGACAGCAGGCAGACGCTTCAGACAGGGCCACAGAACAGAACTGCAGGTGAGGGGTTTGCCTTCACTTCCTGGGCAGGTCTTGGAGGCCTGGGACGAATTTGGACTCTACACGAGCTGAAAACTGCCTTGAGGCTCGGTTGTTGACTTACATCGATTGCATCCAGATTTTGTTCAAGCCAACAGACGCCCCTGAGGAAGTGTGCTGTTTTCCCAACTACTCTGTGGGACAGGGGCCATCCAAGAGGAAGACCACGTGAAAGACGGAGGAGAGGTGACCTCCAGCGCTGTAGCGTAGACCAGCCCCAAGCTGAGGAAGCCCCGGGGCCTCTCCTGCTGTGAAAGAGGAGCCCCCCCACCCCCCTCCTGCCCTGGGCTCCCTCCTCCTGAAGCTGCTTCCAGGAAACCAGCCCCCCCCCGGGGGGGGGGTGCACAGACAGTAAGGATGCTTCTTTCCCAGAGCAGAAGGTGAGTGCAACGTGAGCTCAAAAGGGAAGAGGCGAAAAATTGATCGAAATGTTTTCCCTTAAGCGTTCTTTAATTGAATGGTGAGGGGCCAGTTGTCAGGATCTGAAAACAAATCAGAAGCTGTGGAAATCCTTTGACTGTAGCCTCTCTTGCCCAGACCATGGGCTCAGGAGAAAGAAAGAACACTTTCCCATTAAAGTAGCAACAAATAGTGGCTCCACTAAGGTTGCTGAGAAGGCTGGGTGAACCTGTCATCATGAGGCAGCCTGTAGCAAGGCTGTGCAGTCCAGTCTGACAAATCCTGGCTTTGAAAACAGGAGAAATCAGACATGTCGACCAAGTGTCACAATTAACACGGGGTGAATAGCAGTGCCTCTGAGGCAGTATCCTGAGAAGGACCCAGCATCAGACCAAGTTATTTTCTGGCAAGGTGTGCATCAACCAAACCTCTTTAAAAGCAGGGAGTGAGGCTGGAGCCTTTGAAAATGGTGACGGCATAGATTAATGAGAATCTGGGGCCAACATGGTGGTGTAGCCAGGAAAGCTGCCACCTACAATGCTGGCACCACCCCAAATGGCTGTCGGTTCAAGACCAGGCTGTACCACTTCTGATCCAGCTCCCTGCTAATGCACCTGGGAAAGCAGTGGAAGATGGCCCAAGTCCCTGGGCCCCTGCACCCATGTGGGAGACCTGGAAGAAGCTCCTGGCTCCTGGCCCAGGCAGAAACCACCACTTCCTTTCCTATTTTTCCTGACCTTTGTAGCAGGCAGGTGCAAGACAGGCAAGACCAGGTTTATAAATCATGTGTTACCAAAAGAAGTCAGCATCGATATATATACAAAAGTAAATGCTAATCCAGGAAATTAATTTGAACTGGTGTTTCTTGGGTACCTTGAGTCACTTGACATTAGCAACAGAATGTTACCAGAGCTGGTATCTTTTAATTACACATATTATTGCTTATTTCTTCTTCCATGGAACACATGGCAGCTCTCCAGAAACCCCTGGTCTGTTTTCACACTGAAATATCTTCAATACATAGGGGAAAACAATTTTTTTTCATTTTTCCCTTTGCTTTGAAATTATTTCCCATGCCTCTCATGGACCTTGGTAATGTTCCAGAACTTTCTAATCAATCTAACGTTGTCAGCTGTCAGAATGGATTTTCTTCGCTAGAATTTGTATGACACTATACATTTCATATCTGTTCCATATAAATCCTTCTTTTCTTTTGGTTTTATTCCCTTTGTTTCTTGACAGAGTATTTCTTGTTCTTTTTGGGCTTATGGGGTTATCGTCAATTCCAAAGTCCTTATTAGAATAGCTCTCAGAGTCTGTTTCCAAGAAATACTGAGTCAGCGACATCTGTTTGACAATTTTCTATCATGTTCCTTGGCGACTTTGACTCACTTCATTTGCAAAGCACATAAACGGAGAAGCATGAGAACTTTGAGGAGGATCAACTGCTTCATTCAAACTGGTTAGTACATAGTTGTGCAACCAGTGAAT